ATGAATCCTTAGCTGATCAGTTACCTCCTGCATGCCTTCCACCAGGGATCAAGCCCACAGCCTGGGCATGTGCCTGACTAGGAATCAAATCGGCAACCTGTCAGTGCATGGGACAACACCTGAGCCACACCAGCCAGGCCTGGCTCCCTTCTTGATTCCTTCTCCCCCCATCCCAAATCCCAGGGCTGTTTTTGGAAGCTCAGGCTCAGAGAGCCGAGTGCCATGGTGCTAGCAGCGTACCTCACAGCTTCCCATTTTGCAATACCAAGGCTTCCTGATGAAAAACTTTCACTTCCAGTCACTCAAGAAGCCAATGCTTGGTTGTGAGAGGGTTCTCTCTGACCTATGACCTCAGGACCAAAACCCTTGTCCTTTGACATTACTACAGTTTCTTGGTAGGGCATCCTAATACTCAGACTATTTTATGAAATATTAGATAAGAGTTCTCACCTATGTACTGAGAAGTAACTTACTGCCACATAGGACTAGTGTGCCAGGAGGGAAAACAAATGATTCCTAGACATTACCTTGGTTCTATTTAGTTCTGCTCAGGCTTCTCAAATTAGTCCTTCTTAGGCTACCTCTGCAGAGTTCTATCTTCCTATGTGTCACTTAAGAATTAAAAATTTTAGTCAAAAGAAAGTTGTCATTATCTACTATATGCCAGGTATTATGCTGGACATTTGGGGAAAATATAAGGTGTTTTTTTTTAAACATATGGGCCCTGCCTGCATTCAAAGAATTCACAGGAAGGCATATAGCAAATGTAAGGCAAATATTGAATATTATGTATTTTGTAGCTCTAATGTTGTAGCACTATTAGGTAAAGGAGTCATAAAAAAAAAAAAAAAAAACTGCAATGAAGGTGACCTATAAAAGGAAAAGAGGAGGTTTTAGGGAAAAGAGAAGTGATGAGCACGGCAGGTGAGAAGAGCAACAGGACCAAGATATGCATGCATTCATTTGATGAATATTTACTGAACACATTTTCTCTAATTTCTTGTTTCTTGCATGAAACTCCCTCTACTAGACAAGCATTTCTCTACAAGGTGAAGCTTAAAAAAAGAAATCTGTGGTCAGTGAGGCCTGAGAAGGCTGCATACCACATCCATCTCTGGAGACAGAAGTACTATATGCATATTAGCATACTAAAGGCTCTGAGAAGTCCTGCAGTAAAAAACCTTTTCAATGTTGTTTAACCTGGAACTTCCCAAATTTACCTGACCACAGAATGCTTTTTTTAAAACTTGACACCTATTTCCATCCAGAGAAAGTACCACTCAAGGGGACACAGAGGAAACACTGCCTTACACTAAGGTAGGAGGAAAATGTGGGGTCTGTGACAAATCTACATGAGAGCTAACTCTGGCTGGATGAGGTGAGAGCAGCAACAAAGCATATCAAAGCCTGTTGGCAGGAAGAGTAAAGACCCTGCAAAAGGATTAGGAGGAGCTAGTCTGTGATTCTAGCTAATGGATCTAACCATAGTACAGACAATATAAGGCAACAAGTCATTGACATATGTATAAGGCAGTAAGAAGTTTAGAGGAAAAACCTCAGAAAATCTATAATATTCCACATTTCTATTGTTCAGAAACTGTTACTTGGTGGTAGGTCTTATGTGTCAGATTATAATCTATATACTCTTTAAGGAAGACCTCAGTTTTCTGCCTATCAAGTTTAGTCTGATAGCTCATACTGATTCACTCAAATACTCAGTGCTTATCCTATGTTAGAAACCCAGTGCACAAAAATTGGGGGAAGGGGTCCCCTCAGCCCAACCTGTGCCCTCTCGTAGTCCAGGAGCCCTCAGGTGATGTCCAACTGACAGCTTAGGTCTGCTCCCCGGGGGGTGCGGGCCTGAGCCACAGCCTGGCCTCCCTCTGCAGGAGGTGACTGAACGGGCCTATCAGGGGATGGCACCAGCTGGTGAGCAGCCAGCCCTGCCCCCCATTGCCCCACCAGCACTACCAGTGGCCTCCCTCTAAAGGAGGCGACCTGGTGGGCCGATAAGGAGACGGCACTGGCTGGTGAGTGGGCGGTCCCACACACACACCCCCCCCCCCCCATTTACCCCTCCGCCACTGATGGTCTCTGCCGACTGCCCTCATCACCTGTTCCCTCCCTCTGCCCAATGGCATGCTCCTTAGCTGGCCTGGCATCACCTGCTTGCTGGCCCTGCCTCCCACCAACCAGTAATTCTACTGTTGGGTCAATTTGAATATTACACTTTTATTATATAGAATTATAAAGGGTAATAAAAGCCTAATATGCTAAGTGTCTGGCCATACAGTCGTCTGTTCAACTAGAATAATATGCTAATGATATGCTAAGGCCATTCAACCGCTCACTATGACATGCACTGACCATCAAGGGGCAGACACTCTGACCAATAGGTTAGCTTGCTGCTGGGGTCCAGCTGATCAGGACTGAGCGAGATGGGCTGGACATGCCCTGGAGCCTGCGTGTGGTCCCTCCCCACTGGTCAACCTCCAGCTCTGATGGTGCACCAGAACCCCTCAGAAGGTGTCGGAGAGCCAGTTTTAGCCCAATCTTGCAGGCCAGGCTGAGGGACCCCACTGGTGCACAAATCATAAACTGGGCCACTAGTCTATATATATAAAAGCCTAAGCGACCAAATGACCAAACAACCAGTTGCTATGACATGCACTGACCATCGGGGGACAGATGCTCAAGGCACAGGATCAGGCTTCCTCCTGTCTGGATTGGGCCTGCGGGGATTGGGTTCCCTTCTATCTGGATAGGGTACCATCCTGTCTGGATCAGCTATCTGACATCCCCTGGGGGGTCCTGGATTGCGAGAGGGCACAGGCCAGGCCGAGGGACCCCACTGATGCACAAATCCGTGCACTGGGCCTCTAGTAATTTATAAAGCACTCACAGATACCTGCTCTCACCTTATCCTCACCTCAGGCATTAAAGAAGAGAAGGTGAGAGTGTGGCAAAGACTTCCCAAAGTGAAGCCTGAATAGAAGACCAGGTTTCCTGTTCCTTCCACTCCAACTGTAATTCCAACTTTCTGGAACAAGCCTAGACACCTATGATCCCCCCAACACCATAAAAATACCCCCCAACACCATCAAAATACCCCATCAAGATCCAATTCTATCCCTTCTGGAAGGAACCCAAAGATCTTTTGTTTTGTTTTTATTTTTTGTGGGGGTTTTTTTGGTTCAAATTCCTTTGGCAAACATGGTCAACTTTAATACATCACAAGATTTTCAGAAAACTCTCGATCATTACTTGGAAAACTTATACAAGGTAATAGAATATGCTAAATACATTGTTTTTGTCCATCTAGATTTTTTTTTTTTAAATCGAAGTCAGCAAATGCATTCTCTAACGGATAGAAACATAGAAACTCACCTGCACAAAATCTAAAATACAATAAATCATTTATTTTTGGCTTTGAGCTCTATTTGTTTATTTAAATACAGCTCAGGTTGAAACCTGGAGGAAATTATTTCTCCCCAGATAATGAAACTGTACTTATACTCCTCCCTGACATGACTCTTCCCTGCTACACTCACTGACACTCGATGCACCCAGAGCTCCTTTCTGACTGCTGCAAGACATCAGCCCAGCAAAGAGGCTGTTTTGAAAGTGCACAGGTATCAAGGAAATTTCAGATACATTAGCTGTTATGCATGTGTCAGAGAGTACGGGGAAGACAAGATCTAATACCTATCCCGCTGGGTCTGCTGGGTCTTTATCTGGGGTGATTTTACCCCCCATCCCACATCCCCTCAAGGACATTGGGCAATGGCTGGAGACAGTCTTAGCTGTCACAACGGGAGGAGGGGGAGCTCCAGGCACCTAATGGGTAGAAGTCAGGGACACTGTTCAACATTTCAGTGCACAGGACAGCCTCTGTCACAGTTATCTGGCCCAAAATGTTGATAGTGTTGAGGCTGAGAAACCCTGCACTAAGTTAACAAAGCACACAGTGAAATGATATATGAGTACTGTCAATAAACCTGAATGCAATAATCACACAAAGCAACTGGTGCTCAGTCCTGTGGACTCTGACTCAGTGAAATAATCTGGATACTCCAGCTGGTTGTCACAGTGTGGTGCTGTTAGGCTTAAATGCCAACATAGCTAGTTTTCAAATCTGTTAACGAATGTGGATAAGAAGGAACAGACTGAATTAAAGTCATAACAAGAGGTCATCATTCTGACCAATATATCATTAAGCAAATATCTGAGAGCACAAAACAGTGAAGTAGATATGCCATATCTTTTTAAAAAAATAAATAAATAAAGGATATGACAAATATTTAAACTGTAAAAATAAACAAGGGGTACAAGTAGGAAAACTAAGTCAAATGTGAAAACTGAGGACCAGCGTATGACCTAGGCTTAGTTCATGTGCCCAAGGTCCATCCCATTAATTCCTTAGTTCACTATGACAGAAACGGGTACTTCTCGACAGCCACCGGGACATCTCTGTTCCAATAATGAAATTCTACAATGTTCTTCGCAAGCCTGCACTCCTTCAGCTAGCTATATCATATGGTTCACCCGCACCAACGAAATTTAAAGTAACTAGAGAACATTTGATTTCATAAGACACAGAAATACTTGAGAAAGTGGCTCTCTGAAATAAGAGACCAACTAGCTCCCCAGCAAGAAGTGAGGAGAATCACCTTCACTATCATTTATCATTAGCTTTTAGAAATTCCCAAAGACATCTCAGGTCACAGAAAAAGGAAATAATAAACTCAAGTGAGAAGCATCTTTATGCAATGCAGAAAGAAAATGGAAGTGCAGAATATGTCAAAAAAGAAAAGATTAAAAATGCAAAAATGCTGCTTTGTTTATACTATTATACATGGGGGGGGGGGGGGATCACAAAACGGAATTGAAGGGCATTCCAAGTAATCTGCAACAGACCCAAAGGCTGTTTATTATTTTACACATTGTACTACAGATTATTATAAAATTTTAGAAGTAGGAAAAAACAAAACAAAACTAACCTTAAGGTTATCAAAGGTTTTGACAGTCTGCGCCAAGTCACTGATACTCCCTGGTGATGCTGTCCCCTGTGCCCTAGGACCTGAGGACATCTGTGAGCCGTCAATGACCTCAAAGCCAGAAAGCAAGGCCTCTGAACAGCTGCAATGAGACTCCTTCACTCTCTTACCCGCTATCAGGTATGTCTTCAAACCTATGGATAAAAACTACAGTCAGCACAGGTTGAAACCACCTTTGGTTGAAATACAGCTCCATTCTTGCTCGCCATGCAGGATCTGCTCCTGGAAAGTTAAAAGTAAAGTGAAAAATGTGAATATGTCATATTTTACTCCTGACTTCCATCTTGTCAGAGATGTGCAGCCTCGGGGGGACATCTGCCTCTAAGCAACACCATTTGCTCCCATTATGTTTTCTTTAACTGATGGCTGCACATTTTACCTTTGAGGGCTGAAATGAGCATTAAAAAATTACTTCTTTGTGACAGCAGCAGAGCCAAATGATGGTGGGCCCTCTGCACTTCCTGGGTTTGTTTTCCTCTCTCAATACCAGTCACTGACATATACAATGGTAGGTCTAGTTAGTTGTAAGGGATTTAGAGGTTAGACCATTTTTCCTATGTCCCCTGACATAGGCAAAACTACTATGAAAAAGTGAGACCATAATATGCACCCACAGGGGTAATTAAAACCTCCCTTGATTAAAATTTGTCAACTATTTTCTGTTGGATCCAGATATTCATAGCAAAAACATTCAGCTTTCATCTAGCTGCAAATTTTATCCTCTCACAAAATCCTCATTAAAAATAAAAAAAGTTGCTGAAGTGGACAATTAACCTATATCTTTCAAGTCTCATTAAAGGCTGAGATAACACATTAATGTATGCTACACAGGTAAGCAGCTGTAACCGGTGTGTAGGACCCTGCTCTGGGTAGTCAGAACTATCTGCTGGGGAAGTAATGAGGAGCTTTTCCAGATCAAACTCAACAAATTTCTGAAAAAGAAGCAAATCTTATTTAAAACATTTAAAAAAAAATCCCCACCCAAAGATATGTTTTATTGGTTTTAGAGAGAGGAAGGGAGCAAGAGAGAAACAGATATTGTGTCACAGAGAAACATTGATCTGTTGCTTCCGGTACATTCCCTGACTTGAAATCAAATCCACAATCTGGGTAAGTGCCCTGATTGGGAATCAAACCTGTAACCTTTTGGTGTATGGGACAATATTCCCAGGAACTGAGCCACCCAACCAGGGCAGAAGTGAATCTGATTTAAATAAATTCATTGTTGGTCCTTACTAGAATTTAACCAGATTGCAAATGTGTTAAAGGGGGTAACTATAATTTATTTAATAAATGTTTATTTTAGGCATGGTGCATGTTATAGAGGGTGGGCAAAAGTAGGCTTACAGTTGTGAGTATGGAAAAAACAGAACTTATTCTTGTATTATTATTGTATTATTTTCCATACAAACAAATGTAAACCTACTGTTGCCCCACCCTGTACTAAGAACAAAACTGGGGCCAGTCTTGGAGAGTTTAAGCTCCAGCATGAGGTGGAAATGAAAAGCCATCATGGAAACACTAGATCAGGTGACGTATCTACACTGCTGAACAAGCATGGTTGCTTACACTCAGTGTATATTTAATAAATGCTTTAAAATAAATTAATCAAATAACCTAGGGACTATTTAATCAATAATCCTTAATCATTTTATAATTACACCTCCATTTAATCACTTAATCTTTGTTCATTTCCACTCGCTTCATAAAAATATCTATGGTGTATGTTTTTAAATTAACTTTCTAAGAATTTGGCAAGAGTCCTTAAAACACCTAGAGACATCCTTGAATATAGCTAAATCCCAGGTGGGAATCAGAAGACTTAGATAAATAATTTTAGATTCTAATTAATCCCAAAGGAACTAGTTAACATGCTGTTAACTACGGTTCTGACCTTCCTTTTTTTTTTTTCCTCCTCAAACAAAAATGCACATCCCAATTTATTTAGAGGATTGATTACATATATAACTAATTACATGCATAATCTTGAATTGGGAACATGAACTAGAATATAACAGAAGAGTAAAAGCAACTTCCTATGAATTTTCCAGGTTCTTGTCACAGACAGCACTTGTTATTTCACCTTGGGGGGAGTTGAAAAACACCACCTTTGTGGGCTAACCAGAGAATAGTCCTGTTTCTGGCCTTCGAGTCCTGGGCTGGCAGGGCTTATTCCTGGTCATCACCGAAGTGCATGAAAAGGCCAGTCCATGGAGCTGCTCTAATGGTCCCTCCTCTGACTCCCAAAGGAGCATGTGCTGCCACTGCACACGGCACCCTGGGAGACCAGAAGGAGGGACATTTTTTTTATTGTAGGAAGTGAGGAGCTGCCACTGAAGGGAGGTTTTCCTTTATGCCAGCAGCTGGTCCTGACCCCAAAAGAGTGTTCCCTTCAAGATGCTGCTGGTTCGGGGCTGCTTTGGTTGAAGCTGCTAATCCCTGAGGAATGCCACAGAGCATAAAGCTGAGAAGCCAAAGAGGCTCTGCTCTCAGCTCTCAATCCATGAAGTGTTCTTGGTAACTGCCTAGCCCTTCCCTGTGCAGCTCCAGACCGGTAAGAGCCAGTGAAGGAGGTCTTTCCTAGAGGTGCAATAGCTAAAGCAGGGAAACGGCTGAGTCCCACTGAGACATGCATGATGCTGAAGCCAGCGCTTCGAAGCAGGAAGGCGCCCACCACCCGGGAGGGTGCAGCAACAGTGCCCAGGTCTGCAGTCACAAGCTCTGTCGCTGCCTTGGAGAGAATATCCCTGAGGTTTGTTGTTACTACTATGAATTGTGACTACTGTGCTACTGCTCATTCATCACTTATTGAGCACCTCCTGTTTACCATGCACTGATTAGTTTAGAACACATCAGCTATGGCCCCTATCTATATGAGGCTATCCCCTGAAGAAGGATCTAGTCAGCAGGCAGGATGAGGACATGCTAGTGTTTTAGAAAGCATAGGAGGGAAACCTTGCAAAGACTTAGAGGTTAGGGCAGGATTCCTGGTAGAAGTGCCCTTCAAGCAAGGAACTGCAAGACGAAGAGAAGTCAGCTCAACAAAAGCCAGCAGGGTCAGGTGCTGAGGTACTGTCATCAGGCTGTGGGTGCTACTGCAATGAATAGGCCCTCCAGAAAGGGAGCTTTCGGCGGTAGAGTTGAGGGATGGAAGTAAATTGAGTGGGACCAGGACAGGAGAATGAATGTGGGTGAATGGCCAGAGATAACCTGGGGCCATGCAGGTGGGGTGAAGACCAGCTCCAAGAGTCTTCACGATAGGGGCAACGGGGAGAATGGGGAGCAGGCACAGGCTTAGGAAAGGCCAGGGAGTTATGGAACTGCCAGTCACAGTGGGTGGGAAGCGGGTAGGGAATATGGGAGTCAGGAAGTTAATTGTGGGAACAGGAACCCCAAATGTGGTGGTGACAGCACAATGCTTCTACAGCAGGCCTTAGAGAAATGGATAAGGGCATGGCTTCTGCAGAGCAACCTCAAATTCAGGCTACACCACCTCTTTACTGCATGACCTGGAGTAAAATACCCCAGCCCTCTGCATCTCAGTTTCCTCCTGAGGTGAGGCTAAAAACAGGACGCACCCCACATGGCTCATGTGAGGATTAAACAATGAACACATATGGAAATTTTAAAACAGTGCCTGACACATAACTCAGTAACCTTAACTATTGTTATCAACTAGTGGCCTGGTGCACAAATTCGTGCTCATAGAAAGGAAATTGATTAGAATATTTTAATGTTGCCTTTCTCTATAATAGAAGTGTCAACCAAATTCATAATCGACAATGACAGATGGAAACACAAGCATGCGATTGGCGCCAGCGAAAGCTTATATGTATCATTTATACGTGAGTCAACTTAACCTTTTAGAGATACACAATACACTTGCTTAATTAGATCAGCTTTCTGATTTAGGTAAACATTTTCCAGCCCAGTGAAGCACCCCAACCTCTCTTTCAGGTAATTGTCAGCAACACAGCACTAAATATCAACACAAAGCAGATTATTATTGTAGATCACGCAGGAAGAACAAAGGGTAAAATACTTAACTGCAGCAGTGTTTGACTATATTTTGCACAGTGAGAAAACCTGAAGGCATTTTCAAAATCTACCATTTCTTATTTCTTTTCAGTCTGGTCAAATTTCTAAGCTTTCTAAATCTCCACTTTTCAGCTAATGAAAATAAAATAAAATTCTACCGAGTCTCCTTCCTACCTACTCCAGGTCTTCTGTGAGGATCAAATGAGATGAGACATGGGAAAACACTTCACATTCATTTGGTTAAAGGGTAAAATGTTTACACCTGGCTATAAAGCAAGTTGTATTCCTGGCTGAAGAAATTCCAAGGAGGCTAGTCACTAGGGAGAGGAAGCGGGTATTGCTACGTGATGTCATTACTCAGCACCCACAGTGACAGTTTCTGGGTTGAGCTGGGCTGTGGGCTGTATTTTGCGCCATGGAGTCTCGGCAGCACTGGCTGCAGTTTGGTGGGCTGACGCTTCAGGGTGGTGACAAAGCCTGTGCCCCACTTGGGGGAAGCCAAGTGTTGCTTTGTGGACACTAGGTATGCAGTGCCATTTCTCTGTAAATGGCCAGTGCCTGTCATGGCAGCTCCTGCTTTGAGCATCTGCCCCCTGCTGGTCAGTGTGTGTCATAGTGACCCATCAGACTGTCAGAAGGTTGGACACTTAGCCTATTACACTTTTATATGTATATATAAATATGGATGTTTGATCTGCCCATCACTGGAGTCTTTTTCATGCTCCTATGTACAAAAGCATATGCAAAATGGTTAAATCAATAATTGCTCCAAATTTGTTTCTAACTTGAATTTTTCTTTAGGAAATGGAAGTAAATTGAGTGGGACCAGGACAGGAGAATGAATGTGGGTGAATGGCCAGAGATAACCTGGGGCCATGCAGGTGGGATGAAGACCAGCTCCAAGAGTCTTCACGATGGCCAACTTGTAGTGATGACACACTACTGCTAGTGTTCCCAAGGTCTAGCATATGTATGTGGCCATGGCAAGCAAAATTGGTGAACAAATTAAGTATCTTTTTATTTATGTTTTAACATAAAGCTAAATTTAAAATGAAACCTTTTTGCCAAAACTAGAGGGATGTCAGCATGATAAAGA